GTTGCCACATAGGCGATTAGTACGGCAAACATAGTAGTTTGCAGCGTCATTCGCGATTGTTATTTTGATTCTCTTAGTAGACGAATCTTTAGAACCTCTTCCGTGGCAATGTGATAAAGTTGCTTTGTATATCTATCCTCGTTTCTATCCTCGCTACTATAGCTAGTATCGCCGCGGGATTGTATGGTGTTGACACATTGTGGACGGTAGACGCGAATTCGGATCTTTCAGTTTTCAACTGCTGCGGACGGGGAATGATTTTTTGCGTTGTGTACAACACTATATATAATTTATATTATGTAATATTATATGTTGTATAATTTTTCAAGAAGTAGGGAAATTGTTTCCTGACGTTACCAAAGGTATTTTGTATGTAATAAAGTACCTCTAAAATGAAAAATAATTAATAATTTCAATTATTCATAAAATAATACACCTGTTAAATGCTATACATTCTCTTGAACCCTTTCAATCGTATATTAAATAATATATTAAATAATTCAAAAAATACGAGAAACACAGGCTGTATATTTATCAGAGCATACCGTCCTCAATGTGTTACCATAAAGCTAAAATAAATGATCGTTAAAATCTAAAATACATAGTTAAATAGATTCTTGAATATTACTGTAAAAAAATATATAGTAATATTCATGAATATTTTATCAATGTGAATCAAAGAAGTGCATATATACGCATTGTACAAAGTTTCCCAAAACGTTGCTCCAAAAAACGTGCAGGTGCACAGAGTGCGGTACGCAATGTGTTAAAAACGTGCGGGGAAGAGGTTTCACGAGAGATGCGATCGATTCTAGCAGGCCCGGTGATCGACGACGACGTACGGCGTCACGCCGGCGAAAAAAATTCCAAATCGGCGCGCTTAAAAAAGACACGCCAGTTTCGGCGTGTGGGATTGATATGGAGATGAAAAGGAAGGAGTTTGGGTTGGCGATAAAGAGAGAGAAAGATCGAGTGTGAGTGAGAGAAGAAAAGAATCAAATATATATAAACACGCATCGTGTTATACATGTATAACGAAAGAGAGAGAGAGAGAGAGAGAGAAAACGGGGAGAAAGAGGGGGGGGGGAGGGACAAGAGGGTCAGTAGCTCTGCGTTCTCATGCATTCCGGTCTGTCATGGCGGCCAGCGAGCGACTCAGACACGCTTCGTCTGTCCTCGTTGTGCATGCACACCGGGGGCAACGTGCAGTTCGTCCTCGTTGCACCCGGCTAGAGAGGAAAGAGAAGCGAGAAGGAAGGGGTGCTGGCCCGGAGGAAGAAGAGGCCTGTGGGGAGAGATGGCAAAAGACGGCAGAAATGGGGGAGGTGGGGCAGGAGAGGGGGAGAGCGCCCACTGTGTTAAATGCTCCACGGCGAAGGCGCGCGTGCGTTCTCTCTCGTCGTACTTCGGGGGGCCTCCTCCTCTCCTTTTCCTCGCCGAGGCCCTTTTGCGTCGCGACATAAACAAGCCAGGGTCACGCCGCGGCTATCAGCGCGCCCAAACGATTGCCTCCTCCGCCGCCGCGTGGAAAACTCGAACTTTTGCCACCGATGCTCGGGTGAAAATTTTGTCAGATCGATCAGCCTGCCGCTTTCACGTGTAATTTAACCTTGAATGGCACGCACGTCGAGAATTTCTTGTCCCGAATCGCAACATTTCCTGAGTATCGAGTATACCAAAATGTAAACAAACATAAATATAAACCGTAAGAGTTCATTGCTTCTTAATCATTTCTATCCAGTGATATATATATCCGACACGAGTTCGAAAGAAAAGGAAAGCGAAACCTTCGGTCGCTCGTTACGGTCCGCGAACCAGCGCAAGGGGTACTTTTTCTGTTTTAATCGACGAATTGTGTCGAGCGATGGTATTATCAGTCGGTTTCATTTTCGACGCGCTTATGCGACATGTAAACACGGCGGATTGTAAATAACTGCAGCAGTAACCACGTTATTAATATTCGTGTGATCAAAACTCTCGCTGTGATACAGGGTTCACATTCTTACATGTGATGTTCGCTGAGGGATTTGATTGCATCATACTGAACGATAAATAAAAACGTAATTCGATGAAACAAGAGTAAACTCCGATCGAATGAAAATGATTGAAACATTTGTTACTTATCGGTGTCTTAATTTCCCGTGACATCACGATCTGTGCTACACAAATCGATGCAAATTGGACAACGTCGCTAGAAATTAGTCAATTACGAGATCATCCTAAAGTGTATCCTTGGCCAAGGACAATTTCCTGTCACGTTCCAATAAAAGTTCTGTAAAAATTGTGCAGCACAATTTTTTAATTATACCGTTTACAACGTTACCGTAACATCGTCGTGGAACGCGGCTACAATGCCACGTCACACGCGCTGAAGAATCGATCGAGATGACAATGATTCCGACGATTGTGTGTTTACGTTCGATACACGCCTTCGGAGAGTGGGCGCGAACGAAAGCGAGAGAAAAGTAAAAAGTGAAAGGGAGCGGGTGATGTTTTCGGGGGGGGGAGCGCGAAATAATTTGGCGATCAAACGCAGCCGCGGGACCATTACGCGAGAAGCGAGAGAGGAGAGGCCTGGACTCGTCCGGGACGGCCAGCAGCCGTAAACACGACGTGGCGCGACGCTTTTATTGCCGGCACGCTAACCACGATCGCGTATTTAATCAGCCGGGGCTTTGTTCGACCGAAATATCCGCCCGCGAGACCGGCGGTCGTTTTTCGAGCCGACGCGTTTCCGAGGAATCGTTGCCCGCGTCGAGATCGATCGTGGACAATCACCTTACCACCGCCGCCTCTTTCCAAGGAAAGACGGAAAAGCTTCCGTCTGTTAACCATATATATGTATATATACTCTTCTCGAAATCTGGACGTCGTCGTTTCGAAAGTGTTTGCGAATTATTCGAAGTACATGACTGTAGAATTTTCTTGTGCCAAGGTGATATCCTGTTAAAATATTGCGCGTGTGACTAAGAAATAAATTTCGCGCTTTTTGAATGTTCCATCCTCTCCGACAATTGAAATATATTATAATGTACTGTCTCTGTAACTGCTGCAAATTAATAGACACAATAAAGATTAAACAGATTAAGAAATAAAATACAGATGAATAAAGAAAACTCTCTTTATAAGCTACTACGAATTGACGAAGATTCTTTTAATAGAAAAATTTCGATGTTCCGTTGGGAAGGATAGTAACGACCGACGAAGAAATGAAAGAGGCACGTAGAGCGAGAAGAAATCGAAAGGAGGAAGAGAGAGAGAGAGAGAGAGAGAGAGGGAGCAAGGAAGCCTGGTGGATATCCTCGCTCGGTAACGTGGGTACTATCGTATATCTTCCCACAGGAGGGCGGGAACGTCGTCTCGTAAGGGGAAACGGTAGAAGGGCGAGAAGGGTCCAACTAACGCGCGACCGCCGACAATAACGCGGAGAAAGGGCGCATGAATGCTTCGTGTTTGCACATGCGCGGGAGCGATGAACTTGAGAAAAAGGTCTCGTCTTCGCTCGGGTCGCAGCTTGTTTTTCCCCCGTGTCCTCTCTCTCGTTGTTTCGCAACAGATCAACGAATCGAACGTTAGAAATGATTATCGAAGAGAGGAAAGGACGAAGGGAAAAGACGATGCGCGAAACGCGGATGTCAACCACGAAGACGACATTCCGCCTGTGTCCTTAAAACTCAGCCACGCAGTCGCAGCGATCGACCCACCTAAACTATAATAATAATACCACGCATACCACGCACGAACGATTCTTCTCACGGGAAAAGAAGAAGAAGAAGAAGAAAAGAACAGGAACACACACCGCCACTTGTTACGTCTTGAAACGTGTTCCGTCTGTATCACATCTCGTAGCAACTGATGATTTTCATCTCACTCCGCGAGACGGAATGTAATTCATCACCACGCGCGGTAAACTCGTTGGGAAATACCTTCACGGCGGATGGAGCAAACACGGTCAAGCGGTAAAACAAAAATGGCAGGCATCAGGTATTCAGGAATGCGATAAACACGATGATGCAGGGACTGCGCGCTCGGATGTGCGCTCGCTCGCTCGCTCGCTCGCAGCTGCCATTGAAAGCAACCGTCCGAGACGAGGTGATTATTCATAATGTTACGCAAGAAGTTATATTTGCCGCGTTGGAACGACGCGTTTCTCGTTTCGTTCAATTACGTTACGACTTTAACGCGGTCGACCTCCGCGGAAGCGTTATTATATACGCACACGCTTTCTTCTCTCTCTTGAACGTTGAACCGGGAAAAAAAACAAAGAAAAAAAAAAAAAAGGAATCGAAACGCGCAACGCGCTGTCTGTCGGAAATGTGATGCCGGGAATGAGAACCGCTGGCGCGACGGCAGGCAGCGGCCGCTGCCTGTGCGGGCGGCGTACACGCTGCCACAGGAAATATGAATGTAACGCCGAAAATTCATTCATAATAAGATCTCGCTACTCCGACATACCGACATAGGGGGCGAGCTATTTGAATTTCGGACTATCAGAGTCCGGTCGTTAGCTGGTTACTGAGAAGAGGAGGTGGAGGGGGAACGTAGTGGGGGGGGGGGGGGAGGTTAACGAGATCTGCCGATAAATAACACGGTCGTTTTCCTAAATCGTGTGAATAATGGGTCGGTTGGGTGAGGGCTTTGCCGTAGTTGTCTGCTCAATCCCTCCGTGTGGGATGATTCCATTCGAGTATTTACAGGGAGAGAGAGAGAGACACAGTGGTGTCCTTCCCAAGTACAAAGACCGAGTAAACGAAAAGCACAAAACGGATGGACAAAAACGTACGAAGGAATTATGGACAAGTGTGTTTCTTTTTTTTCTTCTTCGCCGCTCTTTTCCTACGACCGTTCCGACCCGTTACGATGTAATCTACCGCAAACTTTGCTACGCGATCAATTTGTCCGTCGAGTTACGTTGTCGATAAGAATAAATATTTATTTATATCTGTAAACAGGCACGTACGTGTGTGTATGTGTGCGTGTGTGTATGCGCGGGTACGTACGTTTTTGCAGGTAATGCCTCTTCGTATCCAAGGATCCGTGCGAAGTCGATCTCTCGCCCGATGATCGCCGTGACGTTTGCTCACTTTTTTCTCTCTCTCTCTCTCTCTCTCTCTCTTTTTTTTCTCTTCCCCTTGATTCACGTTTCCTCGAACGAACGGTAACATATATCCGTGGCGTGGTTGCTTCCCGTACGGGCCGTCGAACTTGGAACGCACTGTAGAGGAGGAGCCGGGGCCCGTATTATGGGAACACACACGCCTGAACACGTGTGTCTCACTTCCTGCGGCGGGCCGGAAGTCTCTATAGTACTATGGCGCACCGTAGTGTAGCGTGACCACGCTACAAGGGCCATTACTACCTCAATGGCAAAAAGAATGGTCCAATTACCGGTTAAAGCCACGTTGCTCGTCGTTACTCCTTTAATGCGTTTTTCGGGCCGGTGGAGGGGGGCGTGTACACACCTCTCCACTTTCCTCCCGATTCTTCTTCACCCTCGACCCTCATTCGGCCTTTTCTTCGCGCAATCAAATTACTCGTACGTCGTTTCTGTCGTTCACCGTTGCCTCGCCTTCGCTGCGTAGAAACTGCGCTCCTCGTTCCTGCTTTCGACGACGAATTTTCACGACGGTGTTCCGCGAACGTCCGACTCGTCTCGTAAATAAAAGCGTCCTCGAGCGCGCGTAAGAAGCGGGAAGAGAAACTGGTAGAGCGATTTCCGGCCGAAGGTTCCGCCATTGCGCGTAATTTTCGATATATCGCTCCCGATCTTGTTTTTTTTCGTCGTATCCACGTGGCGCGTATTTTACTCGTCGTGCAGAAACTTTCAAATCGTCATGAGAAACTGGCACCGATAGCAGTACCCTGTGTATCCGTCTCGTTCTACGCAGAAATGCCGCCAATTGTTACGTTCCCTTCGTACATAAACACGGTCCGTCCTGTTACGTGCACCGTTCCCTTGTCGAGCTTCGCCTTTGACACCAACCGCGATGTTTATCTCGCCCGAGTGGCCTGGACACACTCGAGGCACACGCGTGCACCGCGAGAACCGTGCGATGCGAACAAAGAAAACGAAAAATAAAAAGATAGAAAAGAGAGAGAGAGAGAGAGAGAGACGAGTCGGAAACAACGATCGCAACAGCGCGATACAACCGTACCGCGACACGGCTCGCACCACACTGAGAGTGATCGCTGGCGCGTCACATTCACGGCGATGCGCAGACGCGGGTTGCGCACACGCTGCTGCGCGCAACGCGGCGGCAACCAGCCCTGCGATGCGCGCTCGCTAACACGCACTCACGCAGGCGCGATATGCACGCACCCACACGAATCTGGGCCCTCTCACACACTACTTTCTCACTCTCTCTCGCTTTATCCATCTATCTTTCTCTCTCTCTCCTGTTTCTCGTATACGTGCCGCGGGTGGCAGAGGTCCGCGAACGACCAAGGATGAGAGGCGAGGAAAAGAGAGAAGAAAGATCGAAAGGGAAGGGACGAAACAGACCCGTTAGTTCTCAGAAGTGGACCGCCACCGCTCGCCGCCAAACCTGTAACCACGTACCGACCGTGGTGGTTCTCTTTCCACTCGCTACCACCGGCGTGCCTCGCTCTGGGCCCTATTACTCTTTTCGCTACACTTACGTGTCCTTCTGACACGCGAGACGCGCGCACACACACACACACACACAAATATATGCTCGACGACCAAATATAGGAGCGTCTCGACGATTGGGAAATTAGAAACAACCTTCATATCTCTTCTTCTCGTCGCTATATACCACATTATATTTCTCTCTGTGCGTTCATTCAGTTCTGTGTTACGTTACTTTATAACGATATGCGTATATCGGGCGATATCTACGCGTAGCGCGATAAACGAACAAGCGCGCGTGTTCTGTCGCAAGCTGACCGGGCATTGATTAGATACGAGTATTTACTCGAGTGACGAATACATACCGATGTCATGTGTTTTTCACAAGAGAGCCGACGATACGAAGCGGAGAGGAACGGACGAAGGGGACCCGTAAATACTTTGACGTCGATGAAATTGGGAGAAAAACCGGTTATCGCCTCTCTCTATCGGGTGAAAAAAGGAGAGGAAAAAATTAAAGAAAGAGAGAGAGAGAGAGACAGAGAGAGAGAGAAACGCGGGAATCAGGCGTTTCGCCAAAACGCGACCTCGACTAGCTTTTCTTGGTCGAGTAAAAGCGGCGAGTGGCGATTGGTCGAAGACGTAGAGTCACCCATCGGGGATCAACATTTCCTTTCTTTCACGGAACGGGGGCAGCGTCGTGGGTGGCACGCACCACGTACGTACATACACAGCGTGCGTATCAACGAAACGAGAAAGTTTCGTAAAAGAATATTGTCAAACTCTTCTATTTCTGGTATAAGACTATAAAAAAATCCGTGGAAAATTTCCAGTTTTCCTAAGCTTCAAACTTTCAATATATACATTAATTAATTACATTTATATAAATACATATTGTCAAACTCTTCTATTTCTGGTATTAGACTATAAAAAAACCCGTGGAAAATTTCCAGTTTTCCTAAGCTACAAACTTTCAATATACATTAATTAATTACATTTATACAAATACATATTGTCAAATTCTTCTATTTCTGGTATTAGACTATAAAAAAATCCGTGGAAAATTTCCAGTTTTCCTAAGCTTCAAACTTTCAATATACATTTATATAAATACATGTTGTCAAACACTTCTATTTCTGGTATTATACATATTGTCAAACTCTTCTATTTCTGGTATAAAAAAACCCGTGGAAAATTTCCAGTTTTCCTAAGCTTCAAGCTTTCAATATACGTTAATTAATTACACTTATATAAATACAAATAATTTAATATATATCAATGTCAATTAGAATAAGAATATTATCATTTACAATCACAATGTTTTCAATCTCGACTTACGAATAAGTATTCCTAAAGTATTTTCGAATATTTTTCAACAACGACCACGTTTCCATCGAGTAGCCTCGCGGAATATCGCGTGAAAAATCGGTATAAAAAAAAAAAAGAAAAAAATGGAGGAAATCGACAACCGTTTCAAAAGTGTGAGATTCCTCGAGCCGAATTCCGGTGCAGAGGACCGGGAAAACGCTGGTTTCGTGCATGTGTCCCATTCCTCTCATGATACACACACATACACACACGGGCGGTCTAAAAACTGCAAGATTCATTAACGGTTCCTCGACACGGAGGCTGCCGCACACGTGTGTGTACACCGGCGTACATTCCATCGGTCGCGCTCGTGTGAACGACCGTAAGGTGTACTTGTACACACAGAGAGAAAAAGAGAGAAAGAGAGAGACATCGAGACGAAAGGTGGGGAGAGACAGATATCTCAGAGATAGATGTCGAGTGTGCGTAAAAAGGAAAGAAACAGGAGAGATAGAGAAAAGGATTATACGCGAGCAACGACCGACAGAGAGAAAGAGACACAGCACAACCGTATACATACATATTTGATGCGCACGGATCGCTTGCTAGACGGCAGACCTTGTCTATCGTCATCATCGAGGTACGCGAGGAACGTACGAGAGTTATTAAGGTCAGTGGTGTAGCGACGATCGCGACGTTGTCCCGGGGAACAACACGCGCCGATAATTCCCGACTTTCGTGCGTGTCTGCCTATTCGCAGACTGGATCCGATTGTTCGTTAAAAGATCGTTTCTCTAATCGCGTTGCACGCGTATAGTTTCGAACGCACTGTACGTAATCCGGTTTGAACCGATCGATTTACAGCAACAACAACAGTTATAAAACAACGCGTACCATTTCCTCGAGCAAACGTTCCGATTGTATCTCGTCACCGCATCGATAGAAACGAGAAAATCATAATAATTGCTCATTTCAATTTATTAATCCGGCTTCGTTATTCGAGTGTCGATGTCTGCCATCGTTCGTTTCTTTCGACGATCGACGTGAACACGCCACGCGCATCGTCGATTTACCTTTCACCGTCGTGCTCTTCGAGACGAGGAAAGAAAGTAGATCGCTCGGAGACGCTTCGAGTCTAAAATCTAACGTAACCGAGAGAACGAAGGATGATTAAAAGTTGCAACTTTATCGTCACGGCTGATCGAACGGAGCGTAATAATCAGCGATCGCGGCGAAAGGTTTAATCGCGATCTCGATCGAAAACTTTAATAATAAACGTTCCGGCCCGTTTTAACCGTGCAATTTACATCTCGGTCAACAATGTGGCATATCGTGAACGTGACCACGCGTTTCTGTCCATTCCATTCGATACGTATGTACATGCGCCGTCGTTATGCTCGGCTCGGTTGCGACGCCAATGCGAGGAGATCGCGCGGAGGCGCGCCTAACCTATAAAGAGACACGGAAACGTGATGGAATGCCCGCGTCACCGTTCCATCCTACTGTGTCTTTCCTTTGTTAAATCAATCTCGAATCATGAAATAGAATCATGAAATAGAATCTCTTTCATGTTCGTGGGATAAAATTCTTCAAAGTTTTTCAAAATTTTCCAACGCTACGTGCAGCACATCAGTTATAATTTGAAGAAATTGTCAAGACATTTTGATCGATTTAAACTGTTCAAATTAAAAATAAAGGAGGAGTTTATTTCCACAGTGCATTTCGCATTAATGTAATAAAAATATTATATATCGAAAAGTACTTTTCTTTGCCAGATTGCATTGCATATCAAAAAAATCGGAAAGATACTTCGATCGCAGTTCTTCCTTGTCGAAACAAGGCTGTAGTACCTGCTTACACGCGAAAGAGAGAAAGAGAGAGAGAGAGAGAGAGAGAGAGAGAAAGAGAGAATAGGAAGCAGAAGAGAGAACACGGAGAGAAAAGATTTATCCGCTGGATGCGTGACGACGAATGAAGAGAGATTCGCTCGATGAATCACTGCACCGCGAGCCATCCTTCTCTCTCTTTCTCTCCTTTCTCTCTCTCTCTCTCTCTCTCTCTCTCTCTGCTCGTTCCCCTTTTTCGTTCCGGAGTTCTTCCACCTGACACACCGGGGCACTTAAGGCAACAACGACACCCATCCGCGACCAAAAGGGAAGACGAATGCCCGCTATCACGGATTTCGTAACGTTGGCTGCCGCGATCTTTCCGTTGGTTGGAAGGAAAAACGCCGCGCGTGCTTTCGTTTTCAAGATATTATCGCTTAAAGTTCTTTCTTAACGCCGATTCTTCTTGTTAACCATACACGCCTCCACTACTCCTGGTTTTTCTTTTCACGGTATATATACACGTGCATTTCCCTCATTCTGCATGTCTCTGTTTCTCCCCGTGCGTATATTCACTTACAATCTGCTGTTTGTAGTCAGATGAAAATACGGAATACAATTCGTTTGATTGTTTTATTTCGTGCTCAACGCTGCGGGCGGGGATCGCTTGTTTGCTTTGTAGGGGACACGACCCAGGCAACGTTATATATAATTTATATTATAATATATTATATATTATGTCACATAATATATTATTATATATTATATATTATAATGTTATATAATATATTATTATTATATATTATAATGTTATATGATTTTTCAAGAAGTAGGGAAATTGTTTCCTGACGTTACTAGAGGCATTCTCATTTTATTTAATAAAATACCTCGAAAGTGAAAAAATAATTAATAATTTTAATTATTAATGAAATAATACACCTGTTAAATGCTATACACACTCTTGAACCCTTTCAATCACGTATTAAATAATTCAAAAGATACGAGAAAATACAGGCTTATATGTTTATCAGAGCATACCGTCCTCAATGTGTTACTATAGATATAAAATAAATAACAGTTAAAATCTAAAATACGTAATAAACAGATTCTTAAATATTACTGTAAAAAATATATAGTAATATTTAATATTTGGGAATATTTTGAATATTTAAGAATATTACTGTAAAAATATATAGTAATATTTAAGTAGATAAGTAAATTAAGTATATTAAGCAGTTATAGTATAGTAAATTAAGTATATTAAGTAGTTATAGTAAATATATAGTAATATTTAGGAATATTACTGTAAAAATATATAGTAACATTTAATATTTAAGAATATTACTGTAAAAATATATAGTAACATTTAATATTTAAGAATATTCTGTCAATGTGAATTAAAAAAAGTGCACACACGCATTGCACAAAGTATTGCCCGTTGCTCCAAAAATGTGCAGGCCTCTTTCTCTGGAAGAAGGTTAGGCGCGCCGAGCGCGGTGCGCAATGTGTTTTAAAACAAGTACAAAAAAAAAAAAAAAAAAACAGAAGATCACGAAAATCAAGCGTTTCGTCCAACGAATGGAATATCGATATCACGATTAGTTTTCTTTTCATACTTGTGGAAAACTTGTTCTCGTGCATTTTTCACGAGAATTCGAATTATTTCAATCGCGCACACGCAGAAAAGGTAATTTAACTCTTTACGATCGCCGATCTCTCTCGTTGTTTCGCGCCTCTGATCTTTGCTCGTTTGGTCGCGCGTCTCGCGCAGGTGACGCCCGGCCACCTCTTCTCTTTGCTTCGCGTAAATGGGACACGGCTGTTTCTGGCGCGGTACCGACGCACAACGACAGGCTCTTTATTTACGGGAAAAGGCGCCCAGGGAAGGCACGCTGTTGTATATACCCTCCTCGTAGCCAGTGCTGGAAATCTAGAAACGTTCGATGGCCACGCTGCGTCATCAACGAGCGAGTCGAGTTTCACCTGTCAGCCCAGATAAACGGGGGGAGGGGGGAAAAGCCTCGCTAGAACGGAAGTCGAAGGCGTTCCACGTTCCAGCGGCTTATTACGAAATGTTATTTAACTTGTTCGAGCCTTGGCTCTCGTTACGAGACAATCTCGGAAAGTTAATGAAACGGGAATTGTTCTTGTTTGTGATTTAAAT